AAAAGGAGAAATACGAACGATTAATGGTCAGCTAAACCCAAATCGCATGTAAATGAATGCCGTGAGGTGGTCTAGAGGGCAAATGATCGACTGAGTATATAGATTTGCGTCATATGAACAGGGCAGAATCAGTATTTGTACATATTGTTTTTGACAGCATGGTAACCGATTCTGTGACTGTGCTGCGACTGTCTTGGTTTTACCCAAGCGACGCTGCTGGGTCGATAACAGCAGTCCTCTATTTACATATTAGATGATGGGTCAAGTAGAAGTTAAATATGGGTCAATCAAACACATCCTTCGTGTTGCCTTGATATCTATGGGTAATGTGCGTCGGTTAGTCACTTAGAGCGAAAAGCGGTTTGGTTAAGCCTTGAACACGCGTACATTACGCAAGAAGAGATCACTACATGATATGCTGGAAATTATTATTCAGCACACCAATTCACCTAGGATATTTGAGACAATATGACTCAAACATCGCCAGGTTATGAGTGAAAGTTTCCAAATGCTTACTACTATCGTTTATTTTTTAACAGCATTGTCGCAGACATGAGAAGTAAATGCAAGCGATGGATGCGGAAGGGTTACAGGAGAATATTAGATAAAAAGAAAGAAGCGTCTAATTTTGCCAACAGTTTCAGTCAGAAAGACGAATCCCAACGTGTATAAGAATGTTTGGTATGGAAACACGTGTGTGAAGATCAACAACCGAAGAAAGGACAAACCATGCTGAATACTCTTTGAAGCGCGGTAATTGCTAGCACAGTCAAAACTCCACCTCGGGCAAAAACTGTCATAATGGGTCTGGTTTGAGAATGTGAGAATGTACATTCACCGCCATGTACCAAGAAAAAAGGTGGCATAAGTACGCATAGAGCCCACAATGGCAAGCAGACCCAAGTCACTGAATATGACCTTGGGAAGTCCCAATCCAATAACAACCTTGGCGGATTGAGGAACGCAGATCCCTCGAAGAGATTATCATCGGTTGGTGGACCAAAAAGTTGACGTCACAACCAATTACACGTGGGCTGGGATTACGGCAAAGGAATATTCGTCAGCACCATACTTCTACTTCTTCTCATTCAACAGTCACTCAGCGCCCATCCGAGACTATACTGACATCTATCACAGTTGTTGGGCACTCCCGAACAACGATTAGGTCAGACTTGATGAAAGTCTTCGAAGTAGGTGCTCTCAACTCATCGAAGGCGAGGTATCCCGGGCGGAGGAGACGTTTCGCGAGTTCCCTTGCAACGACGAGCACATCAAGCATCGTATGTGATCCAGCAGGACCGCAAAATATGCACCAAACTTTCCAGTTGGCCACAATTTCCACGACAGGATATCGTCTGGCCACTACAACCATACCAAGCGCTTCTAACTCTCGTCCTAAGCAGGTTGCATCGGAGTTGGATACCGTGGATAAATATCCGAGGGAACACTCATTCCGGAAATATAATCCATCGATTCGAAAGAGGCGAAGCGACCGACTCTTGTAAACCGCGACCGTCCACGCTGTTGTGCGGACTATCAACTAAGGCAACCACCAGCTCTTCTTTGGTGTTTACGCATGCAGCTTGGACCTGGATCGGAAGCCTGAGGTAACGAACAGTCTTGTCAAACGCCAGAATCGTTGACCAGATTGCATAGTACTCAACACTGGGTAGAAGGATTCACTATAAATTCATCTGGCTATTCACTGTTGTTCAGATTCCGAATAAATTTGAACTCACGAGTAAAAAAACCTTTTGAAATGACGTCCGAAGTGTCAACATTAGCTACGATACCAAGCAGTGTTCGAATATACGCATTTATGAGGTAGTGTGTACTGTCAGCGAATCCGGAGTGTCGCTTGATGGTGAGTAAAAATGTCATCGTGGCGTGTGTGTTGCTATCTGAGTGAATTCGTATTTGTCTGTTCGATGGTTTGCTTCACAACTCTTGTGAAGATAGGAAAATACATGTCCCAATGTACACCTTATACGCAAATCTTTGGGCAACAGTGTCCAGAGGCAATTTTGCTTGTTTCGAAAGAGTTTTCGCCTTGCTTGCCCCTTTCATTGCTCACGTCAAGAGTCTAGTCTGGAAGTGTCTGATCGTTTGGATAGTTTGCGTACTAGCTTACGGTCAGATGAAGAGGAAAATCTTTTTGTTGACACCTCGGATTCCATGGAACAACTCCACGGCTGAGTGGAAGAATAATGAAGCCTATTTCGAATTCACTGTCATCTGAAAACGGTGAGCAGGTGCGAGACCCGCAGGGTCACAAGCATGACATTACTTAGTGGGGTTCACACTAGAATTTCCTGTCAGACTCTACTAAACCAACCATGGAATGTCTATTCGCTTCGCTTGAGACTGATGTTCCTTAGAAAAACGCTCCCAAATCCCAATAAAAACTCTTCTAGTTCATTTTGGGCACAAGATAATTACCTTCCTATAGACAATTGCGAACTACACTTTCAATATTCTAAGACTAGTTAAGTACCTGTGCATTTGTATGAGCGATTTTCTCCCTAAGTGTTCCATTGAGGGAATGACTTGTATTCCTTTTTAAGGTCTTCACCTGATCGAAGCCTTTCTGCAGGAAACATATTCAATAGTTCATTTGAATTACACTTGGAATTGTCCCTTCAGAAGGTACTGTTATCCTGTCTCGACGGATCCCACCAAGGACCAGTTGAAAATCATGGTTTCTGAATTTTGGCCTCTTGAGGCACAGAAGTCTCCCGTAGACTATAGTCTCATACAAAACATTATGACGATATTGTCTTATTGGTACAATTAAATCCTTTCTTATACTGGTGATAGTATGAGGAGATTTAGGGATGAAAATTGATGATGAAAATAGAAGAGTGGATTTGCGGGGTTTTGCACCACTGTGTGGGAAAACGTCTTAGTATTTGTGTAGTAATCTTTGAATGTATATTAAGGCAATTATTGTTATCGGGCTATTTCTAGAATTTTATAGATATATACTGCAGGAAATACTCCAGTACCTTTTCCTAAACAACCTGAAAGACTAATTCATTTAACTGATTAGGGTAAGCAACAGTAT